TACTTGATTATGTGTTAATTTAAGTGTGAACATACTTTGATTTACATGAATTAATTAATGTTAGTAGATTTAGAACTAAATTGTTAATACTATCTTAATTGGTAACCAACAGTAATTGTCACAACTAATTTACAAACCATTGAGGGAAAGTGGATTCGAACTAACAGAAGTATTTTATTTACTGATTGAATTTGTGTTAAAGAATTAAGTTTATCTAAACTTGAAAAAGTAGATAAATCCCATTTCTTTGTTAGTAATTAGGTTAATTTAGTAGTAGATAGATTAATTAGTCAAAACCGTTCCCTGTGATCGACACCCGACTTACCCGACTATTCTATAATTTGACTAGGTACACTGCCTAGGTGCAATTTAGTTAGTTAAGTTAGTAAGGTTATAAATATAAAATTAGGTGTAGCTATTTGCACGCATCACCATACCTATTTTGGTATGTACTTGACCCGATTATGAGCATGGTCCTTTTTGGTTGCCTTCACCGTAGCAACTGATAGGATGAATTAAGGAGAAAGAGGATTAATTATGATTTATTAATATATTATATGAATAATATATTAAAAGAGAAATCATATTGTTTAATTAATATTGATCAAGAATTAATTTAGAATTAATTTTGTGGTCAAAAGAGATTAATTAAACTTAGGGGACTGGAATTGCAATTATAAGATAATTGGTTTTGGGCTATAGATCCCTTAGGAATAAGGTGGACGAATTCAAGGTGGAAGCCCACTTATAAATCGTCCAGGCCTTGATTCTGGAAGGATCTACAGGGCTGCTTGGTGGCTAAGCAATCCAATTAGGGTTTTGACTGAAACTTTAGCAACTCACCTATAAAAGGAACCCTAAGGCTCCCAAAATTCGGCCCTATGCTTCTCAAGAGTGCCTTGGACGAATTTTGTGTCTCCTCTCCCTCTCCTAAGTCATTTTGTTGCTTATGGTGTTTGTGACTCCATTAGAGGTGCAACACTTGGGGCACTAAGCTTTCAAGAGTCAAGGACTTTGTGGTTTGTGATTGTTATTGCTAAATAACAATCAAGGTAAGATCTAAACCCTAATTACATGTTAATTTCGATTATAGTATGCTAGATCTAGGGTTTATGAGCTTTGGATGATTATTGCATGTACAACTAGATAAACTAGATCCAAAGCTTTAGGGTTTGCATGTGCACCATAGGATTGATGTAATGCTCAAAACCCATCATTTATGATCCCTCGAACAGGTCTTGGAGAGTGTCCCAAATCTCTTTAGCACAACTTAATGTGCTCAAAGAGAGAAGGAGGAACACCAAACACCATCTCGTAAAATGCTACTTGATCTGCATGCAGTTTCTCGATGTCATCAACAGTGAGAGGTGTTGAACGCTGTTCTTCTTGGCTCATGAGAGTGGCAGCAACATCTCTCACAGTTTGTCTAACTGGAATATGTGGACCTTCTTTCACTGATCTCCATATTGCTTCACTTTTTTTCCTTACCAAGTACGAATCTTTCCATTCTGACTTTCTAGTGATCATACTCTTCAACAACTAGCAGTGGGGAACGAGAAGGGCAACCCACACTATTTTCTATTTGCATTGAATACATTTGTTGAGAATTAGGAAAAACCATTTAAGTTAAGATATTAGAGCAGAAGTGGTGTGTAGAAGAACTTTTATCCTGAACACAGAAATGACTGAAATACCAAGGTAATTTCAAATCAACTATAATTTGTTCTTATGGATTCAAAGGACAACCACTCAAGCTCTGATACCAATTGTGAGAACAAATAATCAATGCGCAAGGACAAGGTTTGAAAACTCAAACCTTGAGTTAATCTTTAAGATCAACCTCTGCTCTTAATTAAGGTTCCAGTCGAATCTGGTAATACCAGTTAAGACTTGAAGAAGATATTCTACAAAAGTATTCAAGATAATAAATGAAGAAAACTTAGAGTATAATCAATGCAAATGTATTTTAGGAACAATAAGAATGTTGTGAAAGAACTTTGCCTTGAAGGAAAAGTGAAAAAGACGTGAAGAGAATATTTGCTATTCTTGGTGTAAAACTTGAAATGTTCACATCTTCATTAATGGTGAAAACTTTCACTCCTTTAATAGTGAAGGAGGAACATAGTACAAACGAAAAAACATTCCTAGGACTGGATAATACTCGGTATTTGACAAATTAATATCCAAAAGATACATAAAGAAATGTCCTATGAACTGTTACATCACTAATAAAGACAGAATACATTAAATGCTAGAACAAACAGCTTATATCGGAATTGCCCTTCATCTCGGAATGATCTTCATCTCGGAACATCTACTCATCTCGGACTTAGCTGACTTCGGAACTTGAGTGATTGCTAGAGGTTCACTTTTCATGATTCAACAGACTTTAATTTAGGAATTTTGAAATTAGAAGGTTATTCCATTAATGAAATTGATATTTATTTACTATTATATTTATTGCAATTATTATATTTAAATATTATGTGAAATTTAATAATTTAATAAAAAAATGGAAAAAAAAAACTAGACAAAACTGCAAAAATGGTCCCTGCGGTATGCATTTTTTCCGAGGTTTAGTCCAAATCTCGACTTTTTTTGGCTTCGTGGTCCTTTTGGTTATGTTTGTATGTGAATTTAGTCCCTCCCCAAATTGAAATGACTAAAATTACCCTTGTTATATTTATTTTTCATTTTTCATTTTTCTGTAAGTATTTTTATATATTAAATAAAGGTAGGGGCCTACATACCCTCATCCTACCCTCTCTCTCTCTCTCTCTCTCTCTCTTTCTCTCTCTCTCTCTCTCCCTCTCTCTTTTACTCTTCCCGATCAACACACACAAACACATATTAACTTGAAATACATAACCCAAATCTGTAATACCTTCAAGTGAATGTTTCTGAAAATCAAGAGAGTGTAAGTATAGGGAACTTGAGTAACTACAAATGGATTTGAGGATTTGAATATCGGACCTTCAAGAATACGAGATATAAAAATCCATTCTCACCTCACCCCTTCACCAATGGTTAGTCTGCTTTGAAAATCTTTATGGATGGAGAAGACGAACCTCCTGGAAACCCACCACCATCTTCTTCCTAATTCACCTGCACTCAATCCACATATACCTTTGATAGATAAAACACACATACATGGAGTCTAAGAGAGAAACGAGGAGATAACCTTTTATTTCAATTAAAAAAAGAACTTTTATATTCAATTGTATCAATGGTGGTGTATAAACCCAGTTAAAAAATGTTCAACTGCCATCGCTATTAATCCTCCTCTGTTACATTGACCTTGATACCTGAGTTTAAGAGAGAAATGAGGAGAGAATGAGAAAGTCGATAAGTGAGGACTGCCATTTTTTCGTCCGTTAGCTAGATCTCAATGTATCATTTCACCCTTTCCCATTTGTTTGCTGATTCATCTTGATTATCTTCAACCTCTAGATCGTTTGTGTTATGAACTAGTTCAACATATTCATGGCAAGGGGTATAATGATAACTTGATGGAGCTTCTTGAAGATTTGAGTCTCAATATCTCTAATTTAAACTTCGAACATATCTTCGTGATCCACTTCTGCTAGTTATTGTTGTGGGTTTTGGTTCTTCGAAGTTTATGTTTTTATCATTGTCTCTTTTTGTGTCTCCCACCAGAACTTCCATTAGATTTGACTCCACTTTCTGAAGTTAAACTCATGTTCTTAACACTTCTTTTTTTAGAAATCAAGATTCACAACTGATTCTTTGAGATTTGGTTTGGAAAGTCGTCACTTTCATCACCGAATTTCTCTGGATATATACCAGATTCAATATGTTTATTGATTGTTGTAAGTTAACACACAAATAGAAAATTAAAATTGAAGAACACTTTAACCATATAAATAAACACAAGATCACACTACATATTGAAGGTATGTGTGTGTTCACTTTGTTCATCCGTGGAGAAGCTCTTGAAATCGATACTTTCCTACCCTAACAAAACCTAAAAATCAATTTACAGATTTGTGTTCACCGTGTTCATCTATGAACCCATATGTATTAAATTGATTTGTGTGTGTTTCCAGAAACTCATTCAAGAAATTGAAGATCTTCGTGTGTATGTGTGTGTCTGATGTTTTGGGGTTGCAGTCAGGTGGTTTGGTTGGAAAATATGAATTGGGGTGGCTTCGTACACACACACACACACAGAGAGAGAGAGAAAGAGAGAGACTTTTATTTTTCTTAATTAGTTAAATACATAAATAAGTATTAGATTTTAAAAAATGAAAGAAAAATAGAAAATAAATGTCCAGGAGTATTAAAGTCATTTCAGTTTACCGAGGGACCAAATCCGTAACGAAACTAGCTCAAAAGGATCATGAAGCCCAAAAAGTCGAAGTTTTGACTAAACCTCGGAAAAAATGCATACCATAGGGACCATTTTTGCAGTTTTGTCAAAAAAAAACTATAAAATGACATGTGACAAAAATTAATTTAAAATAACCACAAAATGACATGTGACAAAATAAATGAAAATACATGTGACAAAAAGATCTATATTTGTCAGAGCATATTACATTTATTGCAATTATTATATTTAAATATTATATGAATATTTAATAAAATAAAAAAAAACTATAAAATAACATGTGACAAGATGAATGAAAGTATAAAAAAAGATATTTATTTATTTATTAGAGTAGATTTTATGTACATTGTCTTTTTATTTTCAATCTTTTTAATATATATTTTACAAAATGAATATATGTTTATCAAAATCATAATTTTATCTAATCTTTTCCAACAAAAACGTGAATTCTAGTAATTTATATGATTTGTAAAATAATATGTTAATAGTAGCTCTTTAAATATGGTTTATCCCTAAAAAGGGCAAGCAGATTCTTAAAAGAGATAGTGACAAATGCTTTATAACCGTGGTTAAAGTTAATCGCACCTCCTCTCCCAAGACCTGCTCTGGCGCTCTCATTATTCAATTTTTCTAGAGAGAGAAAGAGAAACTACTCCCAATATAAATAAACCACTGACCACTGGAGAAAGTCAGTGTGTGTTTGTTTTTTTTGAGAGTTTTTGCTACGCAGGAGATGATGATGTTCGGTCATTCTGGCACCGGAGGAGGTTTCCTCCCCGCAAAACTACAGGTTTTTCCGGTGGACTACGAGGCCGACGTTTCGCAACGCCTCCTTGAAGCTTCATCCTGCAGCGATCTCAAATCGGCCTTTGACTGCATTGACGATCCCTACCTTGACGTCAACTTCGTCGGCGCTGTTTCCTTGAAGGTTCGTATGGCGGAGGTTCAATGTCGCGATGAATCGGAGAATGTGGTGCGATTTGAGTACCAGGAAGTCAAAACCGACGTTACTGCTTTGTTCGTCGCCGTTCATACCGGAAATGCGACACTCGTCAGAAAATTACTGGTATGAAATTTTGAATCTCTGTTTTATCTGGTGTGTTTGAATTGAGCTCCGGTATTTCAGGTTAAAAATCAGATCATTTCATTCAAACATTTCAAACTCCGCAATAAATGCTCTTGTATATTTAATTACGCTACCTGACTTTCTATTCGTTAATTTACATCTCACGACTTGCTTAATTCAGTACAATGCTATCGTATTAAACGATTTAGGGCTGGAATTTAAGTTCGAAACACATCAACTGTTTGCAGTTTGCATAACTTTTCGGGCTCAATGTCTGCAAAAAATTTCTACTATAGTTGATTTTCTGTGAAGTTCAAGCGAACATAGCGATAATAGCCTTGTATCAGTTCAAAATTTGCAAATAATAAGTAGAGATGAACTGTTTTTTACTTTTGACTCTCGTATAATCCATATAACTAGATCCTTCTTACTTGATTTGACCTTTATGCTTTGTTTTCTTACCAAATGTTCTTCTCATTTTTGCGATTTATAACTTCCAATCATGAATTCTCAACGAGATATTTATCCTAGTGCCAACCAAAACAGTTAGTGTAGAAATTGTATCGGCATGACATAAAATTCATAGTTTAAGCTTTGAAGTATTGGTATAAAGATGGTGAAGGTATATCCTTGAACATGAATCTACAGATTATTAGCTAAACACAAAGTCAAAAACCTATTCATCCTTCCATTAATCTTCTCCTTAGACCCTTAATCACCAAAAACATACATATTTATGGAATAAACTAGCTAGATTAAGAGCCTCATAAAATAAGATAAAACATGATGACTTGTACTGTATTTGATGTGTATTGGACTGAGACGAAGACAGATACATAACTTTTTGTCGCACTCGAAAAGATGGGACATAAAATATGAAAATAATGTAACAAAAAGACGTAAATACCCTCTTTCAGAAATATGATGCCAATGTTTTGTATGGTTATTGAGGACCCAATGAAAGAAAGTCTTAGATCTTGATGTAGTTCAAAGGTTAATGTTATAGCCTTATAGGTGGTCATTTGACTTCCTATATATTACATTAAATTATTATTTAAATTATCAATTAAGCAATACATCATAATATGATATAACACAGATCTCGCATCAAGTTTTCTTAAATAATTTCCATAACTCATACTTGATCCACCGCCCCCAATATTATATACAATTCACACGTGTACGGAAAAGATCTATCTTCTTCATGTAATTTTTCACCCTGAATTAATAAATGCATCCACATCAAACATTTGGACGTGCATGTATCTGATCACAAATCAGACCCTGAGACCCATTCCATGTCAACAAAACAACACCTTCCATATCCTCACTGAATCTCCCATACTATTTTGTCCATCTGTCATCTGCCACGTGTACCTGTCATAAACCATTTAAAGAAAGAAAGAATGAAAGAATACTATGCTTCAGCTTCCCAAGTGGGTTTATTTATTTATTTATTTTTTATTTGTGGGTTATGGGAAATGACAAGGGTGTTTTGGTAAAATGACAGAGTCGTGGGGCTGATGTGAATCAGAAACTGTTTAGAGGGTTTTCAATGACAGCGGCAGTGAGGGAGGGCCATGTTGAGATATTTGAGATGTTAATGAAAGCCGGTGCTTCTCAGCCGTGTTGTGAGGAGGCTCTGTTAGATGCCAGCTGTCATGGAAGAGGTGGAAAGTTTATTGAGTTGCTTATGGCGTCTGATTTTATTAGACCACATATTGCTGTTCATGCTCTTGTCACTGCATGTTGCAGGGGGTTTGTAGATGCTGTTGATGATCTCTTGAAGGTAAAAAAATACATCAGTAATTTCTAATAGAATTTAAGTTACATTTTTTTAAGGCCAAATTCCATAAAAATAACTGTACATTGGTTTATATTTTCGGATTATCTACCAAAGGAATGTAGTTTGAAACTTTGAATTAAAACACCACTAAATAAAACTTTGAATTCTATAAAAACTACTATAGTTTGAAATTTGATCGGTTTAACCACTTGGTAGAAAAAAAAATTATAATTTTAACCATCAACAGTTAAGATTTTTTTTTTTTTTTTTTTTAGTAAAAAGCATCTTTAACCAAAAAAATAATCTTTAAATTGTTTTCTAAAATTAATGAAAAAATTCATAGTGTTTTTTTTTTAAAAAAAAAAAAAAAAAAACTAACTTTTAGTAATTAAACCTAGAAAAAAAATTTGTTCAACCAAACTACTATGGTTTTTATGGAATTTGGGTTTTTTATAAGGTTAAACTACATAATTTCCTTTGGTTCGAGTCTAAAAAGAAATATTCTTTTTTTTTTCAATTTTTGGCAACTAATTGGAGGTTTCTTTGCAGATTTGGTGTTAAATTTTTAAAACTTTTTCCCCTGTTTTTATTATTATTATACCAATTATGATATCAATAACACTTATTAACAAAAAATACCAATAAGGGCAAAATGGTCATTTTCACAAATTCAACAGCTTTAGTATTATTATTAAAGTTGACGGTTTAGGACCAAAAGCAAAATAAAACTTTGAAATAGGGACCAAAATGAAAAAAAAAAATCCCGCTTTTGACCCAAATGAAAGAAAATCAGTAACTGAAATTCCACATTAACCGAATTTGCAGTTTTCTTTTCTTCAAGAGTAAATTACAATTTTAGTCCATGTGCTTTACACAAAACCACAAGTTCAGTCCACAATTTGAAACTGTCTCATTGTCATCCTTAAATTTGTGTTTTGCAAATTTGGTCCATGTGTTTTACTCAAAATCCCAAGTCCAGTCCAAATTTTGAAGTCATTTTATATGATCAGGAACCATGGCATTGGGTCAATTTCAAAATTTGGACTGAATTTGTTATTTAGGTAAAGCACAGGGACCATTATTGTAATTTACTCTTTCTTCAACTATGGAACGTGTATTTTACATAACGTTTAGTTTAAGTTGGGTTTAATCTTTAACATGATTGTAATTTGTAATAATGACAGTGTGGGGTAGATGTAAATGCGTCTGCTAGAGTACTTCTTTGCTCATCTAAGCCTTCTCTCCATACAAATATCAACTGTACAGCCCTTGTCGCAGCTGTTGTTAGTAGACAGATTGCTGTTGTTCGTCTCTTATTGCAGGTAAAATAAGATCTACTAAATACTATTTATATTTCTATCAGCTAAAAACATAAAAAATTATAATTTCTTTAACCGATTTCATTCCTTAAAAAACATTTTACAAACAAAATTCTATAATCCAATCTTGCATTAACTTCAATTTGGATTATTAGAAAAACGGTGTGGAAATTGGAATTGTACTCCAATTTTTGATACAAACCCCTTTGACACCATCTTTCAAAGATTTTGGGGCCCATTAGTATCTTTGTTACAATAACTTTCCAACAGCTGGATTTTTGTATCCATTGATGAATATACGACACTTGCATCATTATGGTTCACCAAATATCATCAGAAAATTCAGAAACTAAATTTGTCCACTACTTATTTGTTTTAATATATTATTTGCTATTTTAATTTATTTTGTCTTTTTCTGCCAAACACATCCACCTAACATATCACATTTTTTTTTCATGTGTAGGCTGGGGCCAATACCAATACCATGGTCCAACTAGGAGCATGGTCATGGGACATAACTTCAGGTGACGAATTTAAGGTCGGCGCCGGCTTAGCAGAACCGTATGATATCACTTGGTGTGCTGTCGAGTACTTCGAATCTAGTGGTACCATATTACAAATGTTACTCCAACACATATCTGTTGACACGTGTCACAATTCTAGAACCCTCCTCCACCACGCCATACTTTGTGGTAACACAGGAGCCGTCAAAACGTTAATAAACCTCGGGTCTGACGTGGAATCCCCTATCATAACCGCCAAACAAAACGAAACCCGACCCATTCACATGGTTACACGCCTCGGGTTTCCGTCAATCCTTCTAGAACTTATATCCTCTGGGTGCGATATCAATTCTAGAACCAAACACGACAATGAAACCGCTCAAATGATAGCCGCCAAATTCAAACAAGAAGAATGTCTCCGAGTTTTGACCAATGCCGGCGCTGATCTTGGTTTAGTCAACTCAGCGGGTCAATCGGCTGAGTCGATAGCTGAGTCAACTCGGTGGTCGTTTACCTTTCAAAAAACGGTTTTAGACGTTATAAGATCCGGAACATTACCTACATCAAGTAATCCAGCCGTCTTTTCGCCTCTAATGTTTGTCGCACATTCCGGAGACATACACGCATTAAAAGCGTTACTTGCACGACAAGAAACCAACCTCGACGAACAAGACAAGAACGGTTTTTCGGCGGTTATGGTAACCGCAAAACGAGGTTACCTCGAAGCCTTCCGGATCCTCGTATACGCCGGATGCGACGTGAAACTCACGAATAAATCCGGTGACACTGCGATTTCTTTATCGAAAAATCACAAAAATTACGATATGTTTGAAAAAGTAATGGTCGAATTTACCCTTGAGAAAGGTAACGAAAACGCAAGAGGGTTTTACCCTCTGCATTACGCTGCACGTCACGGTGACGTGCATGCGGTCAAACTGTTGGTCAACAGAGGGTACGATGTAAACATCCCTGATGGGGATGGTTACACCCCCCTCATGTTGTCGGCACGAGAAGGGAATGGACAGATGTGTCGATTCCTCATCTCGTGTGGGTCCCTTTGTGATTTCAAAAACTTGAAAGGAGAAACTGCGCTTTCTCTTGCGAGAAAGAATAAAAATGATGACGTGGAATCTGTGATACTAGATGAGCTGGCGAGGGTTTTAGTTGTTGGAGGTGGTGACGTGTTGAAATATACAAAAGGGGGTAGAGGGGTGGTGCATAGGAAGACGTTGAGGATGGTGATTGGTGAAGGGGTTTTGAGGTGGGGGAGTTCGAGGTGTAGGAATGTGATTTGTAGGGAAGTTGAGGTGGGGCCTAGTGGTAGTTTTGAGAAGTGTAGGAAGAAGAAGGGGGATGCTGACATGGCAGGGGTTTTTAGGGTGGTGACTATGAAGGGGAAAGAGGTGCATTTTGTTTGTGAGGGTGGGGTTGAAAGGGCTGAGTTGTGGGTGAGGGGGATAAGGCTTGTTAGAGGGAGGATTTAGGATTAAAGCTTTTGTATGTGTAGATATGGTAAAGTATGGAATACTTCGTCTTGAAGTATTATTTTTCATCAAATAAACATGATTTTCTTATCTTGCATATATGACTACATTTCTATTTATAATTAAAGCAACAAATGCAAAACTAAGAATAACAGCCGACTATTTTGCTTAAATCAAAACTTTTTGACAAAAATATTCAATATTGACGTTATTTTGATACTCCTCCTTCTAATGATATAATATATAAAAAGTAATATTTAAGTTTTATGTATTTCTAATAAACTAAGAAAACAAAGGATATTAAATGAAATGTGAAAAAATAATGTGAAGGGAGAACAAATTAAATTAAATATATGTTAATGGTGGACAAGTACAACCTTTGCAATCTACAATTGCATAAAATAATTGGATCACTTTAAACTTCATTTTTTTTGGACCCGTGATTTTCAGCATAATGGATGCTCTAATAAACAAATGTGAACTTTACTAACAACATTTAAGCCAAAAAAGAATTATCAATATGGCAAATATGTAGATTTTTGCTTTATGCATGCACAGGTCAAAATTGGTAAAACATTGGGAATCCCCTAAGGAAATGGATAACATTAAACCAAAACAGGAGAAATGAACAGATTGTAGTCCATTAAGTACACACAAAAATTGTCTTTTAGCTTGCATTATTCCTCAAATGACTTTTTTAACCTTTTTGTCAAAGTTCAATATGCAAAAACCGACAATTAAGGATGTTTGTCTCCATTTAAAAAAAAAAATTACCGAAAGGACAAGCTAATGTACAAAGCATATGATACAAAAAAAGATATGCATTATGAATGTTGGAGTTGATACTCTTATGTATATACACGTATATACAAAGAAGATATGCAATCAAACCGAAGGACATGAATCTCAAATGACCATATATACATGTGCAAACAAACTAAATTGCTAATAAACTTGAAAAAACACTTACAGAAACATGCATAAATTTTCGGATGGGAATTTTTTAATGTTGAAGTTGCACGAATCAAAAGAAAATAGAAGAAACAAGGAAACTGTCTTAAAAGGTTGTACCAACAAAATACCTATGATTTAACATAACGACAACCACAATGCTAATCACTCGATGATGACCCATCATCATCATTTTCATGCTGAGTCACCACTTTCTCTATAAACCTCCTCCTCACCCCTTCAAGAACAGCATCTCTAGAAGCTTCACCTTCACTCTGCCCATCGTTAAGAACAGGATCCGATTGACACAAAATCATAGCAACACCTAACACAACCCAAATCCATTAACAACAAAATGAAACAGAACAATAATGGCTTCTCAAAATATAACCGTATGAATCTGAGATCATAGTTATTGGTTCTAACATTCTTACTGTTAGGACAAACATGTAAGACCACTAGTTTTCAAAATATAAGTATATGAAGCTAATTCTTACTGGTAACACAAACAGGTAGGGTCCATTAATTTTCAAAATATAAGTGTATGAATTGAGACGTCATTTAAGTTAAGGATTCTGACATTCTTAACATTCTTACTGTTAGAACAAACATGTCAGGACCACTACTTTACAAATTATAATTGTATGAATCTGAAATTTAGGGGTTTTGACTTTCTTCTGTTAAGACGAACATGTGATGACCACTGGTTTTCAAAATAAAAGTGTATAAAGTTGAGAGCTCGTTTAAGTTTGATCATTCTAACATTCTTACTACTTTCTTACTTTTAGGAAAAACATGTAGGGACCACTAGTTTTCAAAAATGTAAGAATTTGAGACCTCATTCCAACATAGTTACTGTGCATTAATGCTTTATGATATTCTTACTGTTAGGACAAACATGTGGGGACCACTAATTTTCAAAAGTGTATGAATTTGAGACCTCCTTCCAACATTCTTACTGTATGTTAATGCCTTATGATATTTTTACTGTTAGGACAAACATGTGGGGACCACTAGTTTTCAAAAATGTATGAACTTGAGACCTCATTCCAACATACTTGTTGTACGTTAATGCTTTATGATATTCTTACTGTTAGGACAAGCATGTGGGGACCACTAGTTTTCAAAATATAAGTGTATGAATTTGAGACCTCCTTCTAACATTCTTACGGTTAGGACAAGCATGTGGGGACCACTAGTTTTCCAAAAGTTATATACCTTCCGGAGTGCATCTACGACCAAAAGTATGTAAACCCACGTAATTCGCCTTCACTGCGCTGTTATTATAGACCAGCAAAGTAGGAAGATTGCGATCGGGGTAATTAGGAATACAGTCAGTTGATATAATTTTAACAAATTTTGTGGCTGAATACATCGTTGCAAGTTCTTCAAGACATTGCATTAGTACTCCACATTCAGGATACCTATTTAAAAAAAAAAAAAAAATTAAGAATCATGTAATGCAAAAATTCATTTCTAATAATGAAAGATAAAAACAGGTAATAAATTGAATAGTAAATTAGTAAATTAGTAAAATAGTAATTACCCGTCTTTATATAAAAGAACCACTACCCATACATCAGATGGAGCTTGTGATACCTCACGTATAAAATCTGATCCAGAAATCGGTATGATTGATCCAAATTTTGCAACTTTTACAACTTGTTTCATCTCTGCTAACCTCTTTCTCCTTCAAGAACACCAATTAAATTATATGAACAAAGATTGTTCTTTTGGACTTTGGACTGAATGAAATGTCTGAATGAGAATATATGACCATTTTACCCTTCTGATTGGAAGGTCTAGAGAAAGTGCTATATGAATATAGGCTATTCTTGGAGTTAATGAGAATAAATGACTATTTTATCGTTCAGTTTAGAATGTCTAAAGGAAGTTTTACAAATATATAGGCTAACTTTTTACTAAATGTAAGTAAAAGACCATTTTACCCCTCCATTTAGAATGTCTAAAGGAAGTGTTATATGAATATAGGCTAATTTTTTTGACTGAATGAGAGTAAATGACCATAACGCTACATGAACATAGGCTATTTGAGGAACTAAATGGCCGGTCTGAATAGAGCAAATGGCCATTTTACCCTTCTGTTTAAAGGTAATGTAAATAATAAATTCTAAATCATCCTCAGCATAAGAAATGAACAAAAGCCACACTAGAAACCCCCTTAATAGTAATATTTTTACAAATCACAAGAATCTCACTTGGAAGTTTGATTAGAAAATCTAATGATCATAAATAAAATAAGAATTGTATTGAGTTTTACTATTAATTACCTGTATTCTTCAAGGAATCGATCATCATCAAGATCATCCTCTAGATCTTCAAGTTCTTCTTCTGTCTTGTTATCGATCCAATTTTTGTCTTTAGGTTTTGAATCTTCATCTTCTGCAGGAGTAAAAGGATCGGGTTTGAATGTAGGGGGTTTTGGAGGTAAATTTCCAAGCTTTCTTTGAATATCATCCCATTGTGTTGATGCTCCTTCAACATCTTTGTACACAAAGTGATAATCCGCCATTGTTGCTAACTATCAATCTTTCTCTTCTAATAACAACCTATTTTAGTTATCATCCATGCAAAAATTAACATTTATTACCTAAAACTAAATAAATCTATAAACAAGTTGTTATTTTGCCTAGAAAAAGGCAAGCAATTGCTACATAACAGCAATTTTTTGGACATAAAAGAAGTTACAAAGATCTAAGATTAGTTTGAACTCCGGAACCATTATATTGGAATCTACAAAAATCGAGAATGGAATTCCATCAAAACATGAAAGCAATCAGAGGGGTAAAAAGACATACATGTGGTTGGGTTAAGATTTATGAATTATGATCAGATCGGATATGGGTTTTGTTGCTCGAAACCTACGCTTGTTGAATGATAACGTTAACAAACCCTAACAATTGAATCCAGCCCAAAAGGAAAACTTTATTTCACATCGATTGCTAAAACCATCGAATCGAAAGAAAGAAAAAGAATAGCTTTATTTTCCATTGTGAACTACGATGATCAGAAACTAATAGCTGAAAATAAGGATGCACTTAAACTGTTCGATATAAAGCCTCATAGAAAGAAATCGATATACGCAGCTCAATACATACCCACATGAAAAAGAAAAAACATTCCATAGAGTCGTAGAGAGTAAGAGAGAGAGAGAGATTGTACCTGAGACAGAAGCCAAAAAGGAAGACTAATTAGAACGATTGAACAGTACTCCCTCTAGCCACGAGCGAGATAGACGACGACTTTGGAGTATATTTGCTTCAATCCACGTTAGAGAGAAGGGGCAGAAGCCATTAATGTCAGCGACAGTCTATAAACGGAGTTTTTTGGTTTTTAGAGGACACGGAAACGGGAGTATTGAAAACATTCGACTAAAAGTAAAACTGCAAAATTTGGTCCTTCCGATTATAGTTTCTAAAAAAATTTTGATTTGCATGGAAGATCTAAAATAATGAAATTTATTCATTTTGGTCCAGAAAAGGTTGAAAGGACAATTTTATCCCTTTTATTTTTCTTTTTTCATATTTTACATTTAATATATTTGTTTTAATACCTTTATAATTTAAAATTTAATAAAAAACAAAGTTGGGCCATGCAACCACTCATCTGTATTCTATCCTTTCTAGTTCCTTTCTTTCTCGTTCCAACCTCTCATATTTTATTCCATATCGAATTCGTCCCCTTGTTGCTCCCTCTTCACCGTCGAGTGCATCTTCTCCCTCCTCCTTCCTCATTCTTCCCTAATCTCTTCTCAACCAACCATAAATTTACAGTTAGTATATGTGAAATTGAAAAGATCAAGCAACGCTTCAACCATGGCCGACCATCAAGATCCAAATCCGATCAGCCATGGTCGACCATCACAACACGTATAGCCTCCATTGTTGCACCCTGGGATTAGTTGGACTTAGTTGCGGTGGGTAATCAGGCCTCTTGAGTGGGTGCAACAATAGATAAAGGTCAGAGCGATCCTGGTTTCCCAGAAACCTCTCCGACGAGAGGATGAGTGTTTGACAGATGAAGGTTTTTAGCTCAATAATAACAAGTGACGTGACTTGGAAATATATTTTTTAGTGTTGAGAGTTGCATACCATTGGATCTGCTCATATCTTCTCTTTATAAGCTTGTTGGCATCGATATCTGGTGGTACAAAAGAAGGAGGTACGCCTGAAAAGATATATTGTCAGAAAATAGGTGGGCCCTTCATGCTCGGATTTGGGGTCGGATTAGGCTGACGGGGCTTGGGTCCTAGTCTGAACTCGTCTTTGATCTTTTAACTTCGACCTGTTTTGAAGAGAGTTTGTCTTTATAATTAGTAGCAATCGATCCCTTAATCTCATATACGTCATCAAGCACCTTAGTTTTGGTTTAGTTGCAAACTAAATTAAAATTATACCCGCGTTCGACATGCTGCCTCTAGCCTTGTCCTTTAGGTCATCATTACTTTTGTCCCCGACATTTATAAGATGTCTCTTCTCTGACGATTCCCTTCCCAAGATTTTTCTTCAACTCCACTCTTCAGTCTTCACATAAAAGGGGCACCCTTTTCTCTTTACATTCTTTTACCCTTAAATAGGACCCTTGGGAGTCCTAATTTTCATCCAATAGATATACCAAAGGAATAGTTGAATTTCCTACTCCATCTCCTCTCTCCTCAAGTGTTCTAATTGCTAGGGTTTGGGTACAAACCATTAGAGGCATTCGACTTCTGGTGCTTACTTTCCAAGACATTTGAAGAAGGGAATTGACTTGATTATTTACTATAATAATCAAAAGGTATGTAAACCCTAATCCCTTGTAATTTTCTATTATTGTAGGGATTCCTTAGGGTTGTTGATGTTCATAGATTATTGTTATTAATAGAGAAAACTTAGATGCAAATAGGTTGCATGTGAACTTAAGAGTTAAGTTATTTCGCCTCATGCTTTGAATTATAACCTATAAAACCTATCAGTTGTACCAGAACCTTAGTTTTTTTATTTGATTGTGCATAATAATAAATAGATCAAAATTAAGGTTTATAAAATTAAACCCTAAAGGCCTTAAAATTTCACAAAAGGCTAGGGTTCTTGAAACCCTAGCCTCCACCCTTATTTTCGAAAATACCTAGGGTTCTGTTAGGGTTTTCTAGTTATCTTAATTATTATTTTAAAAGCCTTAAAATTTGAATAATTAAAATTGGATAACCCTAAACCCTAATTTCGAAAATTAGAAGGGTGTTGGATTAGGATTAAATTTGAATTATTTTATTAATTGTTTAATAGAAAATAATTATTTAATCCCCAAATGATTTAAATTAATATAAATAATTATTTAATTAAAATATAAATATTAAATCATAATTGGTTTAAATTTTAATTGATTAAAAGTTTAATTTAGATAATTAATATTTAAACCTTGTATTTTGAAAAGTTGAAAATACACCTTATATTATATATGATTAAATGTTATATATATATATATATATATATATATATATATATATATATATATATATATATATGTATGTATAAGACAAGTCAGTCAACCAATAGTAGGTCTCATACACGAAGTCATGCTATAAGGAGGGTATAAGGAAACTGATTAGTTTTACATGCACTAACGCAGATAAATCCTTAACACTTAATGGTACATCCAACCCAAGGATCTATGTGATAACACTATTGATGTAATACTTTATTGAACAACAAAAACCTATAAACCCTAGGTAATTTCAAATATAACAAAACAAAAGTAGGGTTTACATACCTTATAGTTATTGTAGTAAATAACTAATCAAAAACCTTCTTGAAAAACTCTTGGAAGCAAGAACCACAAGTGTCGTGCCTCTAACGGTTCACATCCAAACCCTAGCAACCAGGGAGCTTGAAGAGAGAGAGGAGAGAGGTGGAAATTTTAGATTTCTCTTCTAATCATAGAGTGGCCGAAATTTGCAAGTTATAGGGGTCTTTATAGAGTGCAGCTAGGAAGCCGTAGATAAGCCCAAACCCAATATAATAATATTATCTTGAATTAGGTACTTATCCAGCTTCCTAATTATCCACCAATGATAATTCTAGAAACTCTAAAGCCCTACAAAAACCGTCCAAGGCTTCTAGGAAAGTTCTAGAATGCCTCTTGCTCAACTATTGAACAATTACACTTCAACCCATGTACTTTTAATTAATTCCATTAATCCCAAAATTAATTCTAATTAATTTCTGATTAATTATTAATTAAACATTACTCTTTTTAATTAATATATTATTCTCATAATATATTAACAAATCATTTATTTTGATTTCTAATTAATTTATTAATAATATAATAAATTAATAAATCAATCTCTCTCTCTTTCTCTCTCTCTCTCTCTCTCTAAAAGGTATCCTATTCAATTGCTAAGTTTGAGGGCAACCCAAAAGGACTGTGCTACCATCAATTCAAGTTTATACCAATTATATTTATGGGCTTAGACACCAATCTAATAGTCTCCCACTAGGATAAGTTTGTAATTATAATTGCAAGTATAAACTCCAAGCTGATCAGCAAATTGTAGCTTCCAAAAGCCGCTGTCAAACTCTGACCCAGTCAGTTACGTGTCCTAAGATAAGTGATCAAATATTCCTGTGTTCTACAAGATATCGTACAAACATGAGACATGGATTATAATGAATCTCATTGTCCAAGTTTTATTTCCCAATTTATGATTTGTGATGACGACATAAGACTTCTAATCGAACACATCAATTTAGTCTTGGCTAGGCCTAGCACTTATAAGTCAACTCCAAATCACTGATGGGCCCAAACATACCGCTTTTCCCGTTAGGGAAAAAGGTACGAATAAACTTTGAATTATATGCTTGCACTATTTGCTCATCAAATCATGCACAACAATATGTTTTATAACATCAAGTTACTGATGCGTTTACATATTGTCAATGCACAACTGACTTGTAAACCACAACTCATATATCTCTATTTCAAGAATATAAGATATTATCGTCTCAAATTACTCGTGATAAAATCCATGAAGTCATTCTCTGAGCGTGGGTTTATCCAATACTTAAAATCTCCATTACTAAGTACTCATGAACATTGCAGCAAAACTATTGTTATGTCTAAAACTCTTTAGACAATCTACAATCCAGTTCATGACAACCTTAATTCACTACTTATGACCACCTGTAGAATTTCGAATAATCAAATTATTCAGGAAGTAAAGCATGCAAAGTGAAACACAATAATAACCTAACTAACTATGGTCTCAAAACTATTGAATATAAATAAAACTCTTATTATTTAATCACCATATTAATTAAGACTTTATTAATTGTATAATGTTTCGAATAATCAACTAAACACTTGAATTAAACATCAGTCATGCCATGTTATGAACATGCATACTATGTCTCTCTATGGTCATTCCTTTCTGAAGATCGATTGGACACTATTCCAATGATGCTCATTTCACAATTCCAAATTGTTTTCACTACTAAAATGTGTTAGAATTCCAAACCTTACATGCATTGTCCTTCTGTGATGTTGAGGCTTCAAAGTCACAGAGACTTAGCCAACGATATTACAAAATGTTCCATTGGAACTTTGTTACCAAAAACAATTCCATGGAAACGAAGTCTCAAATTCAAGGTACACTCCTTGAACACCTTTCTATCATTAAAGTTCCCAACTCACATGTAGATTTTAATAATTAACTCCCGCTATGGAAACACTTCCATATTACCATATGACCATCAATTCTGACCAAGAATCATCCCAATCTAAAACATGCACTATGGTCCTTCCAACCAATACCATACTTCCAACTGTCTACAAGCAACCAATCCTTTGGTATGACCTTAGAATGTTATTGCCAGTTGTTTAACAACTTTAGTCACACAAAGTTCTAATCCTTTTTCCCTTTTCAATGCTCAAGGCATTTGGAAAAATCAGAACAAGTGAATATTAGAACATATGTAATCGATCCTATATCTGAAGCATATGGGACTCGATTCATTATGTATCACATAGGGACCTTGTATCTCTGTTATGTCTCTTGCTATAATATTTCCAAATATTGTATTTCCTATGTTGAATCATTTCAACATCATATTCATACATGTTTAAGACTAAGTTCTATTAAACCCTTCAATCTAAACTTTTAGATTTGAAACGAAGTATGAGTGCCCTCTCCCTTAAGTCTATTATAGCAAAACAATTCCCAAACTTTGCAATTTGCAAATTGAAAACTTTGTTCCCTACGAATAGTATTGCCAACTTGCAATACTAAACATAACAATTATGATCCTACTAGCATAACAATTATGCCCCCACTAACTTTGACATGTACCCAGAAATCAACCGGACTTCTAGAAATCAACATTCTTGACTTTCTTACTAA